TTTATAGCGGCTCGAGCCGAGCTTTCGCGAGCCGGCTCGTGAGGCTCGCGAGCCGGCTCGGCTTATGCGGAGCTTTACTTATTTCGCTAACAAAACTAATACTATAAATCAGACAATGAGATCAACCACTGCAATTTTGGTTGGTATAATTGATTATGAACCTCCTCTGATACCTTGACTGTTTCAGACAAACTTGTTTTGGATAAACACATTTCCAAGTTAAAAGATATTTCGTTAATTAGTTATCCTAACCAAAATTGCACAAATGTCTTAACGATAACATTACTGTAGAGTAGACAAAATAACGTTAGCCATATATTTGCTAGTAGACTAACTCATCAGACGACTAGAAGGTATTCGTCAAGGAGATTTTGAGTCACGTTAGCTCATATGAGAAAACTGTAATATTAAGATGTTCTGTATCTTCCAGTTTATTGACCGCTTTCGAAGTGAACCCTATCTTACGATCAAATGTCAATGCTTCATTAGAGATTGAAGTCGATGCGATATCTCTTTCGAACGCTGAAAATTCGTTAGAAATTCTGTAAGAATGAATTTTCATTTTTTTTCTTAATCGTTTATAAAATTAATTTTTTAATTAACATTATATAATTTATGATTTTGATATTAACGATAATTTAGCATCATTTAAATTTTTTTTTATTTAAGAAAAAATGTTACATTTTTATTGACATTATTTTTAATTTTTTATGATTTTTTTTATTATGAATTCAATATATCATTTTTGTTAAATAATTTAATAAAGTGAAATGAATAATTAGGATATTTATAAAGTTTTTTTTTATTGTGAAAAATTTTTTTTTAAGTTAAACAAATAAAAAAATTTGGTTTTCTTAAACAAATGAGAATGAACTTACCTGCTTTTATATAATTATCACTTCAGATCTATTTTTTGCATTATGTTTCTAATAAATAATATGTTATCCGATTTAGATTCTTTTTTTGCAATTTAATCTGTTTATTATACAAATATTTAATTTATCATCATTCAATGATCTGTGTTAGTCTGAATATAATGAATTTATGTAAATAAAATCACGAAAAAAAAACAAAGTTAGAAAAAATCATTCTTTTGATCACAAAGAAAAAAAATATTTAAAATAAAATTAAAAAGAACTATTAATAATATTTAGCGAATAAATGACCCATCTGATCAATAATAACTATGTATTCAATACTGAGTACGAATTCATTTCAAACTTCTTTATTCAATGACTTGATCATAACCTTAGACCTCGCTTAAACTTAAAGAATACCATCATGAATGTTGATCCAATCAATCAAACAACCATTCGGCTACCTCATAGAGGTTATACAACCACTTTCAAAATAACGTTCTGACTCAATATTCCAGAATTGTATGCTTATACTATAGAAAATTATTGTATCTTAAAAAAGCCTCTTAGTTATTCTACGACCTTTCGTTCCTTTATCCTATACAGCAACGAATCCTCTTAATCAACATATCATCATCCTTTAACCCAAATAAAAATCAAATTACAGAATTTAGAGTTCTAACTTACGAATCATGTAAAAGACTATCTACTAGATTTAACTTTCCTCACCTTTCACCCATAACAGATAAAATCGCTTTTGTGCCATTATACAGAAGAAAGTATCTATGACTCGTTTACCTCTATTACGTCTTAGAAAGATCATCGAACAGTAACCCATTTTCAAATATCAAAGTTTAACGGAAATTATGGGTTACTCCTGTAACGTAAAAGCACATCCCTTATACTCTGGAACTCTAGATGCTATTCTAGAACTCACTAATGATCTTAGCTTCAAATCTACTACCCTGAACCAGTCTAACCATTTGACTGATAACCTGATCTTACAATGTGCCGCTTTCAGGTTGACGCAAATAATCTATACGTTCAACCTTTCACTAATCTGTTATTCTCATCTCGTAGACGTCCGTATTTAAACAAACCTTTCCTGAAAGCCAAACATATTCTAAATGACTCTACCACTTCTCCTTTTAATTCACAAGATATAGTAGTGCCAAATTATGATCTTTCTGATGAAGGCCAGTACAAAGATTTCCATTACAGCAGATTGATAGCTGAATTCATCTGTGAGTGAGAAAACTTACGAATTCCTATCTCGACCTATGATCCAAACCTGAAGCCCCTTTTTTTCCCAGATTTCTTTACCGATAGAAAGGGTCACTTTCATGATACGTTAGATCAATCCGTTGATGATGAATTCTGTGCTGAAACTTATGACAAGTATATCAAGTTACGGCTGACATATATCAATTCAAGATAAAGGCTTCACTATTATTGGCTTTCGTGGTCTTATTTGCAACTAGAAAAGTTAAGGTACCATCAGAACACGTAACGACTGCTTCGACAAAAGAATCTCCTTAAAAATAATGGAATGAACTTACCAATGGCAAGGCAATTACTCCAGCTGAATGCTTACTCTTTGCATAATATAATCGATGAATCGAATACAGTCTCATTCCTTCTTTCATAAGAACTGGCAACACATATTTCTATTGAAAGCAACTTCATCTAAACTTGATAATCAATAAACTGGGTTTACCAACCTTATTCATTATTTTAAATATGTTTAAACATCACTGATTTCATCTAATAAATATACTCGCTAATTCAGATAATCGAGACACATTATCCTCAAATAGGCCTTTTTACTACGCGAATTACTTCGTTCACAGATTCCAATCCCTAAAGAAAGAACTCTATAAAAAATCAGATCTCATAGGATTGGTGAAATTACCGATTTTTTTGATCAAGTTGAATTTCAGAACAGAGGAACTGCTTACACCCATAGTTTCTATTGGACAACTAATTCAATAGAAAATATGATTTCTGCGAATGTTATATGTTCAACAGTTTTAGATCCTTTATACGAACCTGAATTTACACTGCAGTTATTGCAAATCAGATCTATACTTGCAACTTACATTGCCAAGGACTTCTGGCTTCAGATCAAACTTGCAAGAAAGGATTTCCTCAACCTTTGATAATAAATTATGAAGAAGGCAACTTCCAGTATATCTACAAATGCCTAACTCAAGCTGATTCATGGGTTATCCCGTATCATCCTCTGACTCTATTATTATGGGATGTACATATGAACTGTTAATATATAACTGACAAAGGTTTCGCTAGATACATGTCAAAATACATTGTGAAGATAGAACCTTCACATATATTTAACATCTACAAAAATGATCTCCTGAGACAGCATATCATCACACGCAGGTTGAGTTCTATAGAGCTTATGTTCTTACTACTAGAACATACGATCTGTAACTCGTTCACAAATATCCAATTTCTCATCACTGATCCTTCTCCTACGAGAACATGGGTGATACTTTCTGCTTACATCATGCACGAAGATGATGACAACCTATATTATAATAATACCATCACCAAATATTTATCACGTTCTCACTCCCTCGAATTTGAAGGCCTAAAATATAATAAATACTTTCAAAAATATTTGATTTCTCCATCTAGACCTCTTAACACCTCTTGACAAAGCCAATGAGACGACCTATCTAACTACGTCATGAAATGATCGAAAGATATCTTGAACAGATACTGTTTCCTTAATATAAAAGACGTAGAATTATATTTTTATCAACGTTTGCTATTGATCGTTCTCGCAAGAAACAAGAATAATTACAAGAATCAACAAGATAGAACTTATCGTGAAAATTCTTCCAATTATTCACTGATTTCCTATTTGAACTGCAAAATCAAACTCATAATCAACTTCAATTACGAATAATTCGATTAAATAATTAATTCGATGAAATGCTGGATCATTTGCTAAATTATCTAACCCTCTAACTTCTATCTAACCTTCACCGCATAATATAAATTCAGATGGAAGATTTAAAGATACTCTCTCACATCTATCTGATGACAGTCATGCTCGAATTACCACCAAACCAATATCGAACCTTATTCATGATCGCTACCTACATGCAGTGTTGTTATAGGACATAGTTAGGACACTAATGGGACATTGATGAGACAGATAGGACATTTAGAACATATATGAGACATAGTTAAGACATATAGTTGAGACATATACAGTAGCTGAGATAGCAAATGCTTGAAACATAGAAAATGTACATCACTGCCTACATGGGTCCCAATGATGGAGTCAAATGGTCTTATTTTTTCATCAAAGCTCAGGTAAAACCAGAAAATCTTTCATCATTAATACAATAATCAACATACTAAAAAGATGATCATCAACTTATCTCTTACTTACACCTATAGAAGTGGCAGCCCAAAATATTGGAAGGCAAATAATTCACTCAGCTTTATGCATCGCTTCGATCAGTGAGACCTTTCATACATGTGCTTACGTGAATACTGAACTAAACAATTAACTAAAAATATTAACACTCTCGTTATCGATGAAGCATCCATGATCTCTGCAGACCTTTCTGATTTCATCTCTAACACTTTCGTGAACCTCTATAACAACTTCATTCCTTTTGGTAGTATAAATGTCATTGTCACAGGTGATCTAGCACAACTCCCTCCAATAACTGGTTTACATATATTTCACGCAATAGCTTGGCCTTTATTTTATTTATTGTTCCTAAGAAATTTACAACACCAACAGAACGATCTCATATTCTATGAAATGTTGCAAAATATTCGAATAGGTTCTATATTCACTGAAACTTGGAATACATTAGATTAATATCATGCTGACTTCTTCACTAGGTCCTCAATCCAAAATCAACTCAACACCACCCACATCTTCAGTTTCAGAGAAACAGCATAACAGATTAATACAATGATCTGTAATACTCTTCCAGTCTCAGATGGTCGATTCATCATATCTAAAGTGATCAATGTCATAGATTCTATTAGGTGGAAATTGTCTTTTTCTGATTATATCTTTAAATCAAAGACAAATCTTCTTCTTGCGTTTGTCTTCAACTAGGCGTTTGAGTAATGTATCTGAATAATACGATTATTGATCAAGGAATATATAATGATACAATAGGAGTAATCACCAATGTTGATACTGATGAAGATTAGGTACAGGTTGCATTTTCTATAAGAGGTTCAATAGTTGATATCGTTATCTACAAGCAGACGTATTACTTTCAACTAAATGAATACAATAGTCAACGTACTCAGTTCCCCTTGCAAAATTCATTCGCTCTTATCGTTCATAAAATGCAAAGCTTAACCCTTCTGAGAGTAACTCTTGCCTTAGACAGAAATATATTTTCTCCCAGTCAGGCATACATTGCTCTTAGTAGATGTCCTATCTGAAATAACATAGACATATCACATCTTGATCGTTCTGCATTCATGATTGATAATGACATTATAGACAAATATAAAAGATTAGAAGACGTCTCTAATAATAGGTCCCAATGTTTTCTATAAATCAAAAATCCTTTATGATAAAATTAAAAAGATCTGACATAACATCATTACACGTATCAATGCATGCATTATTATCACTTTATAAGATCAAATGATGATCATTTATGAAAAAAATTATTTTATTAATAAAACGTAATATAGCTACTGGTAGTGTTATCATAGGATATAGTTAGGACACTGATAGGGACATTGATGAGACAGATAGAATATTTGGGACATATATGAGACATAGTTGGAACATATTTTTGAGACATATAACTGGGATTGGCTACTGGTACAAAAAAGACTAGCTAGTTTAAACTTTTAATTTTCTTGCTCTATTTTTTTATATTTATATTAACAAAATCGAAATTTTATAATATCTTCTATACCTACTATAACCCAAATGATCCTCAAGAATTGGAAATGTGGCATAGTAAAAGTGATCTACAAATGATCATCATGTGAATTGATCTACAAAATCAATGACATAATGATCTGCAAAAGTGATCTGCAAAATTAGTTAATGAAAAAATGAAGTAATAGATTATTAGCTTATGATGACATGTATAACCATCTAAACTAGAACTTCAAATAGGAACTTCAAGGAAAAACTATTCAAAGGCTAAGTATAAAGATGTAGTAATAATTCAAGAACAATATAATTATATTCTCTACATCTTTTCAAGTATATATATCTTATAGTTATAGGACTATTGCATAGCGATTAGGTAGTCATTAGTCAATTATTACAACAACATTACATAGAAAAAATGAGGAAATTATTACATAATTTTTATGCAATAGATAGCAATTTAGTGTAGAAATTTCATTATAAATAAGTTGAGTTTTTTATTATGTATCGATAGAAATTTAGGAAGTTAATTTTAATAAGATAATAAAAACTCTTTGCTAAATTGTCCAACAAACAAACTGTTTTGTGTCAATCTTGGTTAAGTAATATTGAATTACTTAACATTATCAAATTACTTTGTGTCAAACCTGCTTTGTGTCAACCCTGGTTAAGTAATATTGGATTACTTAATGTTATCAACTCGCTTTATGAAAACCTTGATTAAGTAATTGTAAATTACTTAATGTTATCAACCCTGCTTAGTGTCATCTAGGTTTAAGTAATCTCTAAATTACTTAAACGCTATCAACTTGGTTACAAATAAAACTTTGTAATGTCAATTGAGAATTTCCTACATCAAAGGAAATTACTTGTCTTACGTATTGAATTGGAAGTCACTATACTTGCCAATTCTAAAACTTAATCATGAAAGAATACTGAAGTTAATAATAGCCCAAATTAACAAAGTCTCTTCCAAAACTTTATGCTAAATCTTGCTGCTACTCAATTGATTATGTGTTTCAGTCTGCCTAATTATTAGTTAGGTAACACTACCTGTGAAGAAATAAATCAACTACAACAACTTTCAAGAGTAAAAAATACAGATAAATATACATCAAAATGGCTTTGTATGGTTGATAAATTTAATAAGAAGCTAATTTAATAAAACATATTATACTTATAAAGAACTTGAATACAAATTTATTATATAGCTTAAGAAACTTAATGGTGAAAACTATAAAGCAAAGTCTGTGTATAATTGCTATGCATCATTAGCAAGATATTTAAAGGAAGAATCTATTATTAAACCATACAAAATTTGGGATTAATACACTTTTCCTTTAATAATAAAA